AATCCTATCGCGCGCCCAAGAAAAAAAGGAACGCAGCTCCCTTCGATGACATTGCCGCCCTGCGACGGGTGCTGACAGTGCCGTCTTGGCCATGATTGCCGTGCCCTCAGAGAAGGCCGAGGTAGTGACCCCAGCTCTTGGCCAGGCTCTACCCGCCAAAGGACTGCTGCAGGTTCAGTGCGTTGCCTCTGACTGTGCCTCAATCAAGCTCTACACACATCTGCGGCGCATCATGCCAAACCTGCAGTGTCTGACGCTTGACCCCGTTCACCTGCCCATAGTATATGAGCAGCTTGGTTTCCTTCAGAACTAGATCTTTCAAGCAAAAGCAAAAAAGATAGTAGCCTTAGTCGCCTCTCTGCAACGGGAAGCGCGCGTGTAGCAGCTCTACGTATAAGGGGGCCCGATCTCGGAAGCGGTTGAAGTCAGGTACGCCACGTGGCGCAAGCGAACCGCCGGAGCAGTCGTTTTGCGCAAGATCATGGCCAAGTTCAACGCCGTGGACTCTGATCTGCCGGCAGAACATTGGGGCAACTTCTACAGGGGCTACAGCAATGACGCCAGCGGTGCACTTAGCCAAGCAGAGAATGTCTGCAGAGGCTTCATCGAGAGCGGCGCCATGGCCAAAGCCAAAGCCCGGGATATCGTTGAGAACCTGGATAGCTCCAGGCCGTTTTTGTCGAGATTCGAGTTCATCGAGGCTCTAGCTGCCTTATCTGCAAGCTTTCCCGAGGACATGAACAGGAAGGTAACAGGTGCTAACAAGCGCGTGGCGCATATCCTCTGGTGCGCCACCGATCCGGATCGTGCCGCGTGGCTTTTCAACAACAGCCGCTGGCGTCACAGTCTCAGCTCGCGACTCAGAAGAACGCAAGCCAAAGGAGTCTAGATCAAGCTCAGCCGGCTCGAGCCCATATCTTTCTCGTCTAGCTAGCATGTGACTATGCGAGCTAAGGTCGACGCGTGCTGGCTCTCCTACCGTCGGGAACGTCCTCGAACGAAGCCCTTCACGCTGAGGTGAAGAATTGGTTCTCTGAGACGCAACAGATCCACCAAAGCACTCTATGCCTTAAGCTGCTCATGTTAACCTTGGGCAAACAGATCCCACACTTTCTGGCTATGGCGCACCCAACCATCAGTCAGTGCGCCAGCAGAGTTCTTCTGGCGCGAGCGGTTGCTAACTCCCCCTGGACGGATGTCGCGTGGCAGTCCTGGTGCAGTGAGCTAAGCCACGAGGCGCATGTGGAAAAGGCGGCCCTCCCCTACAACGAGTCACGCACAGAGGAAGTGTCCAAGGTCCGCAGTTGGAACATGAAGCGGCCGGCCGCCGTGAAGAAGTCTCACTTCAAAAGAACAGTATTTACTCTCAAGAGACTGTCCAAGCTCCGGACGCAGGGCGCCCGCACCTGCAGGTAAACGAAGACAGCTTCGTCAGCCCAGGTGCATTTGAATTCGAGGACGTCTCAGACAAAAAGGAATGTGTGCGCTCGAGTGCTTGCGCTTGCGTGTATGTCATGCTCCACGCAGATCGTTTGGTCCGCGTAGAACTTGAACACGGGATGCGTAGCTTAGGCTGCGCAAAACTCTTTGGGCTTGTGCGGCACCTCTAAGAGACCCGCGCTAAAGTATGTCACTCCTGGTCTAAGCCGTTCACTCAGTCTGCTTAGTGTACCGACGCTCAGTGTGCACTCACCTCTACGCAGTTCTGTCGGCCTGCTTAGTAATGCAACAGCGCGGGATGCGCAGCTCACGCTCTACACAACTCTTTGGGCTTGTAGGTCCAGCTCATCTCTGCGCAGTTCACGTTTCTCTGCTCCCCCTCAACTGTCTTCCTTGCAGCGCTGCAAGAATATTGGTACTCTGCTGCTGGGCACTCCAGGGATACTCTGCGCTTGGACACTGCAGAAGTACTTTTCGGTTGGGCCCTGCAGTGATACTTTGCAGTTGGGCACTGCAGGGATACTTTGCGGTTGGGCCGTGGAAGGATACTCTGCGGTTGGGCACTGCAGGGATACCCTGCGGTTGGCGCACTGCAGGTGGTTGGGCACTGCAGGGATACTCATTGGTTGGGCACTGCAGGGGCACTGCAGTGATACTTTGAGGTTGGGCACATCCGTTAAGCATTGCAGGTTATGTGCCAGCACTGTAGATAAATACTGATACATCATGAAATTTCACCGACATGTCAACTTAGCCTTATGTTTAGAATTCCCAAATGTCCATGTCATGATAAAGCTTACCCATCCAAATTATAAGCAGTCTTGCCATGACTGCATTCATCAGCAGCTCAGGAGCTGCAATCAGTCATGCATATCCTCCCTCTCAAGCAGATAGAATATAGGGTATATGGGGATCTTATTATGGCTATGGACAAATTCATGTTTCAGCTACTTAGGGTGGACTATAGTAATCACAGGCGGAGACTGGGAGGCGCTGACGGCTTGTGTGTCTTTGGGGGGTACCCTAAACCGTGTACCCCAAGAGGACACCCACCCTGTAACAATATTATAATAGGAAATAATGGGAATATAAGAGAACCTTGCTATGTCCAGTATTATCTCTAACAGTTACTCCTCACACTTCAATGAATCCAGCAATGGCTCCAACAAAATAATGTGGCCTCCGCAAATCCTGGCTCCAAGTTTAGGGCTAGGATCATGACGTTGACACGCTGGGAACGGAGACGAGAGCGCGTTGCTGCGTGGCAGCGAGAGGCGCGGCGGCAGTAGCGGTCGTCAAAGGTAGTCCGCATGTCTAGACCCCAAATCCCAAACCCTTACGTGGTAAACCCTAAGTTCTAAACCCTCAAGCCCTGAACCAAAACAAAGGGCTGCACAGGCTCGGCTCCCTCCTGTACTTCTCTGGGTGGTTCTCTTTTTTACTCAAAGCATATGGGTGGTTGTCAAAATTATGGTCCCTTTTTGGATCTCTATTAGAATGCGGCACCTAATATTTAGGGTACCCAAAAAGGGACCATAATTTTGACAACCACCCATATGAGCTTTTATGAGTCTAAACTCCCAGGATCTCCCTGGATAACCCCTATAATGTTCACCTATACAATAACCCTAAACCCTAAACCTATATTGACCTACAGAACCCCGTTTACGGAGTTTAGAGTATGGCTCCTATAAAGAACATAAATCGATAGTTTGTGTTCCTATCCCTCACCATGGAGTCTCTGTCCAGGCAACTTGTTTTCTTTGGAGTTTCCCAAAATCGGGGGTACCCTTAAACAGATACATTAGGGTTATATAGGGTTTAGGGTTTAGGGTTTCCGAAAATTAGAGGTATTTTTTAGGCGGGGCCACTATAGTATCAAGCTGCACCAGGGATGGCGAGGCCAACCCTGGAATCGCCAGCTGAAGCAAGCACAAGAGGAAGCTGCAAAGGCCAAAGAAGAGTTGAAGGCTCGCGCTGCTCTGGTGTCCAAAACTTAGATTATAAACTCTAGAGTGTTTCATGATTCGTGGGACCGATGTACAAGATTTTGGCAGGTGGCTCAAGAGCGGCTGAAGCGCGAAGCAGAAGCTCGCAAGCAAGAGCACAAGACACTTGCTTTGAAAGACATGATGCCGGAGGACAGATGTGGCATTCAAGCAACCATGAGATGTTCTCCATGCAACAATCAGCTATCACTTTCAGGAGGCTGAGTTGCAGTTTGCGGAGCTGTGTAAGAGAGGCCCGAGCCACGCGTGGCACAGAATACAGTCTCGCTGCTCGGCTATATATCGAGTAGTCATCTTTGCCACACCTTGCATTTGTTGGATCCCAGGTAACGATCCTCTTGTTTGGTATTGGCACAACTCCCGTACCGGCGAATCGCTACGGTTCTGATCGACGCCTGCTGGCAGTATTCATGCAAGTTGTTCTTGATCCAGATCAGGGCTTACATCCATAAGGAAGCCTTCAGGAGTAAATCTCGAATCTGCAATACAGATAATCAGTATCCTTAAAGCTTAAGCCTCAAACCTAGAGCTTAAGCCATGAACCTTAAATCCCAAACCCCAAGTAAAGCATGGCCGATGCTGACTGTGCCTGGAAGATTCGAAGAGATCATATTCTGTTCCTGTGACTCGGACTGGTTTAGGGGTGTCGGGCCCAGGGCTGGAGGTTTAAGGCTAGGGTTAATGGTTAGGGGTCACTGCTGGCCTGGCCAAAGACCTCAGAATCTCAAGCCCCTACAGCCCGAGGTCCCCGTGCCGTAAACCCTAAACCAAATCGTAAACGGCAATTTCCTCAAAGAAGGGCCCATCTTATTCCACAATCTTATTCTCCCAAAAAAAAGAACAAGAACCTTCAAAATCTTGCATTTTATGTACAGGAACAAAACCTCAAGCATTCGCTTGCAGCGCCTTTTGGGCGTGTT